TATGTATACACGGTTAGACCACAAATTTAGTTTTTATTTATGTATAAAGGGAGTTTCTAATTTAGACACAATTAACTATTAAGGTCTGAAGGTTTCAACTGCAAAGTTGCACCTGTATAGTTGACACAGTGATAGTAAAATATAAAAAAATTAACATAAAGAAAAGTTTGACGGGATAATAATTTATCAAAGGTTATATAATCCAAAAAATATAGACACTAATATAAATGAAGTTTAAAATTTAAAATAATGGTCTAACAAATACTATTTATTGCACAGTTAAAATGAATCAAATAGACTCACATTTTAGTAAAAGATAATAAGGTTAAATACATCCATAACTGCAATTTTGGCAAACACTGGTAAAATTGTTTTAATTTTTTGCAGATGCACGCAACAATACTATAAGATGAAAGGATACTTAAAGACAAAGTGGAGCACAATGTGTTTATATATATATATTTTTTTTAATGATAAGGGGTATGAATATCAAATAGTATCATCTCATTCCGGACACATCTACTTAGTGTCTAAAATTAATAGACACAGTAAAGACTGATTCTCTAAATGAGAATTTATAGTCTTTGTGCTATAAAAGGAGGATTTCCTCCTAAGATTTTAAATATATGTTTTTTTCTGTTACTATGTGTATGTTTTTGCAACAATGAGGAAAGACACTAAAGATTATGGGGTAGAGAAGGATGCAAAGATGATTTGAGAAATAACATGATAAAAATGCTCACACTTAATGTTCAAGGAATGAACACGATAGCAAAAAGAACTCTCTTATATAAATATTTGAGTGAAACGCAATTAGACTTAGTATTTTTACAGGAAACCCACTGGAGGCAAACAAATAAACAAAATTGGGGAGGAAAAAGATTCCCGCTTATAATACATGCTTCTGATAAAGATAACAAAAAAAATGGGGAGTTGCTATAGTATTTGGAGAAAAAAATCAAGGTAGAAATTATTCATCAAGTACAAGATGTTAAAGGTAGATTTTTGGTGATAATATGTAAAATTAACTCCATTTTATTAACACTCTGTAACGTGTATCTTCCAAATTATTCACCAGCTTCCTATTTAAGAACTGTATTAGAAAAAATAGATGAAATTAAAGCGGGAAATTTAATATTAGCAGGAGACTTTAATGCGGTTTTAGACCCACAGATAGACAAAAAATTAATGAAAGGAAATAAACTAAATCAAATGGTGATGAAACAAGCTAAAGCTTTAAGGAAAATTAAAGATGAATATAATTTATTTGACATTTGGAGAATCTATAACCCTAATAAAATGGACTATACGCATTTTTCTAAAGCTCACTTCTCCTACTCAAGATTAGACATGATCTGGGTAGATCCAAGTCTTATTGATATGATTAAAAAAACAAACATCAATGAAATAGTATGGACGGATCATAGTGGAGTGTTGTGTGAAATAAGTGATTGTAAAGTTAAGAGGGGAACATATACCTGGCGCTTAAATGTGTCAAGGTTAATACTCCCCAACACGCAAACCAGGGAACAATAAAGGTGAACACAGATAGACGTATTACCGGACCTTAAAGTGGCCGGACTTAACGTAGGAACGAGGGAAGAATAGTCAAACACGCCAAGGTCAGGAATACAGAGATACGGAGAAGCGAAATAGACAGAGCCAAGGTCAGGGAGCCAGAAAAGAGAATAACCGATAAACAAGCCGAAGTCAGGAACCAGAGAAAAGACAACTACTCAGAACGCACTCTCGGGCTATAATAAACCACGACAGGGAAAGGAAGTGATGTCAGAAGGAGGTTAATATAGGGCAAGGTGAATACTGATAGGCAGGGACAGAATTGAAGGAGGTATAAATAGATAGTGGCAATAGGCCATTATCTCTTTAAAATTGGATTCCACGTGACCCCTGCCGGCTACCCTGTGCGCGCGCGCACTTCCCCAGGCGTCCTCCCAGATGCGCGCGCCACGCCCGCCAGCGATCCACACCGCCCGACAGGAGAGGACGGATGGCGGGACCGGGATGGCGCGGGACACCAGGTATGACAAAATGATAGTCTGCTCTGTTCTGAAATAAATAAAATTTACATAGAAAATATTATAAAAAATTACTTTAAAGAAAATATTTCAGAAAATATTGATCCACCCACTTTGTGGTGTGCCTTTAAGGCTGTAATAAGAGGTCATTTTATTAAGTTACAAAGTCAAGTTGCCAAAAACACCACTTTATCTTACTTACACACTCAATTAAGAAATTTGATTCAAATTAATAAACAATCTCCGTCCCTTGATAACTACGAGAAAATATCAGTAGTGAAAGAAAACATAAAGCAAAAACTAATGGAAATAACTGTTAAAAGCGTGGATAGATTACAATTAAGATTCTATTCTAAAGGCAATAGAGCTGATAAAATGCTATCCCAAAAACGCAGAAAACAAAATGGACAGAATAGAGTGGAGAAACTAATAAATAATGGAAAAATAGAAACAACTCCTAAAGAAATAGGACAATATTTGAATGAATTTTATAGCAATTTATATAACATACCTCAAACCTCTACAGATGGAAATGCTGAAAGATATCTAGAAATTATAAATAAGTTTCAAATAACAGTACCAGAGAATGAACTATTAAATAAGGACATAACTATGGATGAGATTATGAAAGTTATAAATGGGCTAGAAAGATCTAAAACACCAGGTCCAGATGGGTTCAGTAATTTGTTTTATAAAACATTTAAAGAATTACTTTGTCCTCATTTGATAAATGCTTTCAACCCAGCTGCAAGTAGAGGATTCCTCCCAGCAGAGATGCTGAAAGCTAATATTTTGTCAATCTTAAAATATGATACAAATCCTACCGACATCAAAAACTATCGCCCAATATCTTCGATAGATGTTGATACTAAGTTATATGCTTCAATTTTGGCTGCTAGAATAAAGATACTTCTTCCATTAATTATACGTAGAGATCAAATAGGATATGTTCCAGGCAGAAATTCTTATACAAGTACGAGAAGCATTATAAACATCTTAGATGATGCAAATAGAAATAGGGTTCCAGTTTTGGCTCTGTCAATTGATGCTGAAAAAGCATTTGACAGAGTCAACTGGAAATACCTAGAAGCTGTTTTATCACATTATGGTTTTGAAGGCTGGATTAAGAAAGCCATTATGGCTCTCTATGTAAATCCAGTTGCATGTACTATAGGACCTAATATTACTGCCCCATGGTTCCAACTTAAAAACGGGACTCGGCAGGGGTGTCCGCTTTCACCATTACTTTATTTATTGTCTATTGAGCCATTAGCTGAAAATATTAGAAATAATAAAAAGATCGACGGCTATAAAATAATGGATGTAGATCAAAAGATCAGTCTATACGCTGACGATATTTTAATTACTATGACTAATCCTAAAAGTTCATTGGAGTTCCTTAGGCAGGAAATTGCCCGGTATAGTCATATATCAAACTATAAATTAAATATAAATAAATCAATGAACCTAGATATTAACCTTGATAAGAAAACGCAACAAGTGATTAAGAATAAATATGAATTTATTTGGGTTAAAGGCAGTATGGATTATCTAGGAATTAAAATTACTAGAGAGGTTAACAAAATTATGGAGACAAATTTTCTAGAATTATTATTAAAACTTAACAGATGGTTAAAAGACCATAGAAATTTAGAAATCACTTTTTGGGGAAGAATAAATGTAATAAATTCATACGTAATACCAAAATGGAACTATATGTTCCAAATGTTACCTCTTCATATTCCGATTCATTGGCTCAAGTTGATACAAAAAAGCTTTACTCAATATATTTGGAAGGGCAAAAAGCCAAGATTGAAGCAGTCACTATTAGCACAAAAATTAAGTAAGGGCGGACTTGCCTATCCGTTAATAATGAATAACTTAAAAGCAGCTACAATTTTACATATTTATAGAATGCAATTAGAAGAGAACAAAAATGAAGGATGGTATAAGATGGAGAGTGCAGGTGAAGTCCCTAGTTTGGATTGTTTAATTTGGAATATAGATACATTCTACAAAAAGGAATACTCCAATATTATCTTAACTCATTTAATAAACAGCTGGTTTAAAATAAAGTATTAAATATTGAAAAAAAAAGTTCCAAGCTATTTAGAGCTAAACATTGTGGAAAACCAGGTAGAAGATTTAAATCTTAATGATTGGAAAAAAGTAGGGATCTTACAGGTAGCACAATTACTGATAGAAGGAACAATTAAAACTTTCATTCAAATAACACGTGAATATAGTCTTCCATCTAAAGAGCTGTTTAATTTTTGAGACTTAAAAGTTATATGAATACTCATCTAATTACATCAAAATCTAATATCAATAATTTGATTGATTTATTATTTACCTCAAAAAGAATAAATAAACCAATTTCTAAAGCTTTAGTATTGAGTAAAGCAAGTGTCAAAGATATAATTCCAACAGCTATATCTGCTTGGAAAAAAGATCTAAATATTGATATAAATTTGAAACAATGGGGTTCTTCAATGATGGAAGTTACGAAGATTATACACTTGTTAAATCTGTTAGAAACACACTTTAACCCCTTAAGGACTGGACTGTTTTTGCGATGTTGTACATTTGCGACCAGGCATATTTTTACACTTTTGTGGTGTTTGTGTTTGGCTGTAATTTTCCGCTTTCTCATTTACTGTTCCCATACAAATTATATATTGTTTTTTTCAGGACAAAAGGGGCTTTCTTTACATACCATTATTTATATAATCTCATGTATTTTAATTTAAAAAAAATAAAAAATATGATGAAAAATTGAAAAAAATACATGTTTTTTGACTTTTACTTGAAAAATATTTTACTCATCTACAAAAGCGAATTAAAAAAACTGCTAAATAGATTCAAAATTTTGTCCTGAGTTTAAAAATACCCCGTGTTTACATGCTCTTTTGCTTTTTTTTGCATGTTATAGGGCTATAGGTACAAGTAGAATATTGCGGTTTCAAAACATAAATTTTTTAAATTTATCAATAGTGACATTGTAACACTATTATCTGTCATAAATCTCTGAATAACACCCCACATGTACATATTTTTTTTAAAGTAGACAACCCAGGGTATTCAATATGGGGCATGTCCAGTCTTTTTTAGTAGCCACTTAGTCGAAAACACTGGCCAAAGTAAGCATTCATATTTGTTTGTGTGAAAAAAGTAAAAAAACTAAATTGAACGCTAATTTTGGCCAGTGTTTGTGACCAAGTGGTTACTAAAAGACTGGACATACCCCATTTGCAATACCTTGGGTTGTCTTCTTTTGCAAATGGTATGCCATCATGGGGGTAATTCTCATTCCTGGGCTACCATACGCTCTCAAAGGCAACGTAACCTGGCCATTTTCAATGTAAAAATATTTGACCCATATATTTGACCTGCAACTTTCAAAAATACTATAAAACCTGCACATGGGGGGTACTGTTTTACTCGGGAGACATCACTGAACACAAATATTAGTGTTTAAAAACTGGAAAATCACATCACTATATCATCAGTAAAAGTGCTGTTTGTGTGTGAAAATGCAAAAGTCACTTTCACTGGACAATATCATCGCTGTGATATGTTTTACTGCTCTTGAATCACTAATATTTGTGTTCAGCGAAGTCTCCCTGAGTAAAAACAGTACCCCCATGTACAGGTTTTAGGTGTCAGAGAATGCTACAGGTAAAAAATACAGTGCTAGCAAATTAAATTTCTGAATTTCGCCTGGGTTGGTGCGGCAGGTCCCTCAAATTGCACCAATAATAAATTACTGAATTATAAAAAATATTATAAATACGCACGTAGAATTTTAAAATATATATGCATTTATATATTTGAAGTCTACGCGTATATTTATATAATATTTATGTAATTTTGTATATGGACATATGTATATTTCAGATATTTTTATTTATTTTTATATACATAGATATATATACAAATTCATTCTAAGTGTATTTTGATATAAATATATATATATTAATTTTAAAATACAGTTAGAATAAAATTTCATATAGCTATATAATTTTTTTTAAATTTTTTATTATTATTTAAAAAAATTTTTATTTAATTTAAATTAGTTATTATTTATATTTTATAATAATATATATATACAATATATATAGTTATTATATAATTATATATAATTTAATTATAAGTGTATTTTTATATTAATATAAGTACATATTAATATAAAAATACACTTAGTATGGCATTATATATATGATATATAGACGTATATTATATAGATATAATATATGTCTATATATCATATATACACATATATAATTATTATTATTTTTTTAATTAACACTAACTTTATTTTTTTTTCTCATTTTACACTAGCAGGGAGACTGCCTGTCAGCACAGGCAGTCCCCCTGCAGGCAGACAGATGGACACCTATTGTGACCATGTGATCGCTGTGTTAAGCGATCACATGGCCACAGGGGTCCTAAATCAGTGTGGGGAGACTGTCTGGGCTGCAGGCAGTCTCCCCACAACCGGAGCACCGCTGATCGCCGCCGGGGGAACGACGGCGATCAGGTAAGTAACGGAAACCGTTAGGACGGTTCAGGACCGTCATCGGTCCGCAATGGGAAAATCCCGAGGACGGTCCTGAACCGTCCTGGGTCGGGAAGGGGTTAAAGTTTTAAACTTAGTACTGGATAAACTAAACAAATATATCCTTCAATAAATCTTGTATGCTGGAGATGTGGTTTTGCAAGGGGTAATTTTGGACATATATGGTGGGATTGCCATAAACTGAGAAATTTGTGGTTGGAAATTCAAAAGTTTATATCCGTAGATCTGAAACTCGAGTTGAGAATTTCCCCCGGAGGTCATTTTGTTACATCTAAATTGGCCACCTATGTTGATGAATTAAAATTAATTCTTACTCACCTTTTCTTGGCTGCTAAAATAGTGGTTGCGAGATGGTGGAAAAAAGATCTAGACGTCCCCTGGAGGAAAGTTAAAAATCAACTCGAGTTTCAGATAAAAATGGAGTTGATGCTGAGTAAACAAAAACTAAGCAAAAAAGTATCTGTCTGGTTGAAATGTTCGGAATTAATTAATTAATAGAGAAAATATGAGATAAATAAAAGTCTCTATTAAGTTGAAATAATTTTAGCCAACTTGTGAATACTTTGAACATTGGCAATTTTAGAGCTTTATTTAGAATGCTCCTTCCACCCTATTAAGGAAAACTTTCTAAATTTCCAATTATGTTGCAATGTTGTGTTTTGTATTATATTGTAAATTTGTATAGCGTATGTATCATTAGTAATGTAATATATTATGTTTGTGTATATGTCTTTATCTACCATGTAAGAAATTTATATGAATCAAAGATTGATTATATTATATCTATCGAAGTATAAACTATTAATGGAAGTATTGTTATTTGTAAAATGTTTAAATAAAAAAAATATTATTCAAAAAAAATATATATATACTATTCAGAATAAAGGAAATAAATCACATTCCTTTAGGACATAGGGCAGTGGCATACCTACCAAGGTTGCAGCTGCGACCAGGCCCATTACTGCAGGGGGCCGGCCGCAGACACGACCCCTGCGACCATGGGTCGCCTAAATGCCGCCCTTTCCTTGTTCCCCCTGTCATAGGGGGCCCAAGAGGTGGCCAGTTGGCCACCTAATGGACCCCCCTCCGGCGGGCGGCAGAGTTCCTGTGACACGCGGCGAGAGAGCTGTGTTCTCTCTGCTCCCTTGCGCCATTTGCTGATGCCAGGAGCTGGAATAAGACATCATATTCCAGCTCCCGGCATCAGTTGACAGCCCGTGAGGGAGCAGAGCAGAGAGAACACAGCTACCTCACCGTGTGTCACAGGAACTCTGCCGCCCGCCTTACTAATGCCCCACTGGAGCCCAGGGACAGGTCCATGCCTGCTCTCCAGGTAGGGAGGCTGGGTGGACATTAATTATTAATAATATGTATGTGTGTGCCTGAATGTGTATGTAAGTGTATGTGTGTGTCTGTAAGTGTGTAAGTGTATGTGTGTGTCGGAGTGTGTGTGTATGTGTGTGTGTCTGTAAGTGTGCAAGTGTATGTGTGTGTCTAAGTGTGTGTGTGTCTCAGTGTGTGTATGTGTCTGTAAATGTACGTGTATGTTTGCAAGTCTATGTGTGTGTACGTGTGCAAGTGTATGTGTGTGTCTGAATGTGTATCTGTGTGTGTGAGTGTGTGTGTTTGTCTGTGAATGTGTGTGTCTGTAAGTGTGTGTGTGTCTGAGTGTGTGTGTGTATGTGTTTGTCTGGGAATGTGTGTGTCTGAGTTTGTGTGTGTGTGTATGTGTTTGTCTGTGAATGTGTGTGTCTGTAAGTGTGTGTTTGTCTGTGAGTGTGTGTGTCTGAGAGTGTGTGTCTGAGTTTGTGTGTGTCTGTAGGTTTAGGAGTGTATGTGTGTGTCTGTAAGTGTGTAAGTGTATGTGTGTGTCTGAGTGTGTGTCTGAGTGTGTGTGTATGTGTTTTTGAGTGTGTGTCTGAGTGTGTGTGTATGTGTTTGTCTGTGAGTGTGTGTGTCTGTCAGTGTATGTGTGTCTCAGTGTGTGTATGTGTGTGTCTGAGTGTGTGTGCTGTAAGTGTATGTGTGTCTGAGTGTGTGTGTGTGTGTCTGTGAGTTTATGAGTCTATGTATGTGTCTCTACATGTGTCTGTAGGCATGTCTATATGTATGAGTCTGTGTGTGTCTGTATGTATGTGTCTGCATGTGTATCTGTTTGTCTACATGTTTGGGGGGGCGGGGACATGTGGGGTAGGAGATAGATGTATGGGGGGGGGGGGCAAGGGCAATTTTCGCGGGACCCCGTGGTTTCCTCTGACTTAGGGTATCTAATTCTTTGATCCAGTAGGCCTCTCTCATCATTTTATTCTTTCTGTTCCCTCTCCTAATTGTATCGAGTACATGGTCAGGTAAGTGGAATTTAAGTTGTGACATATAATGTTTTTGTGTGTCTAATCTGGATTTTTAATGCTCAGAAGTTCAACAAGAACTAGTGTATCACATAAAGAAGGATATCTCGGAAAAGCTAACATTGGAAATGCTGAAAATTCTTTAAAATCTGGATATCAGATATTTGCCAATGTTTAAAAATATTTTTTGTAAGTGCAGCAGGGGGTGCCCTTTCAGCACAATTTTAATTCTGCCATGCTCTCCTCTTTTGCATTTCCAGTTTCTAAAAACGTCTTGTTTTACATCTCCTAATTGTTCCACCTGAGTTTCCAACATAACTATAGGTTGTCCTCGTTGTTTAAACCTCTCTACCATTGTGTTTAATTGATCATTTACTTTACTGGTTTGAGATACTAATCTCTTTACTGTAATGGCTTTTTGAAGCTGCCTTAAAGGTTGAAGGGGTAGCTTGTAAAGTGTAAAATTGTGTTCTTACCCAGGGGTTGTCTGTAAACATTGGTAACAAACTTGGTCTCAGCCTTGTTTAATTAAAATGTGTAAAAATGGCAAATAATACAAGTCAAAGGTCATTGCAAATGTAAGAATTTTAATTTTAATCTAGACCATTTTTTCTAAGTCAGAACACTAACCTATTGTGTGGAACTATATCGAGCGCTTTGGCAAAATGGCAAGTAGATCACATCTGATCTATAAATCTATTTACTTCTTCATAGAATGCACTTACGTTAGTTTGACATGACCTATGTATCATGAAACCATGCTGATATGTTATAATAATAATGTTCTTCACAATTAATGCCTGAATACTATCCTTTAATAAGCATTCAAATACTTTTCCAGCCACTGAAATTAACCTCCCAGGTCTATAATTTCCAGGCAAATGTTTAGAACCTTTTTTAAATATAGGAACAACATCTGTCTTCCTCCTAGATTCCTTCCTAAATTTCTGAGTCCCTTCACTGCTACCACTAGTTTATAATCTCCTCCATTCTTCTAGCCATTCTGACCCCAGAAGACCCTCTTATGTTTAGGTGCAATCTATCATGGCTATAAAGATTGTATCCAAGCGCAAAATCAGACCAGTGCTCAAAAGAGCCAAAATCCTGCTTCCTATACCAGAATTTAACCACCCATTAACTTTCCTAATCTCCCACTGCCGTTTTACTGTAGCACACAACACAGGTAATATTTCTGCAAATAGTAACTTGGAGGTCCTTTTCTTCAGCTTACCTCCTAATTTCCCTAAACTCATTCTTTATGACCCTCTATTTTCTTCTG